CCCCATCATTAATCTTGACCCCCTTATTCATAAAACCCCTTCCTCCCTCTCTTTAACTGGCCTCCCAGAGCTTGGCCTGGTGCTTGGCTATGGATCTCTGCATCTGCTTCCATCAGTTAATTCATGACAGTTAGGATATACACCAATCTTATTACAGGAAGATGCCAGTTCAGGCACTCTCTCTCTGCTGTTTCTAGGGGTGTTAGCTGGGGTAATCCTTGTGGATCCCTGGGAATTTCACTGGCACCAGGTCTCTCTCTAACACCATAATGGGTCCCTCTATCAAGATATCTCTTTCATTTTTCCCCCACTTTATCCTTCCCCCAAATCAAACATCACGTTCCCTCATGTCCTCATCCCCCATCCCTCCCCTCTACTGCTCCAGGCCCTCAGAGCACTGAGGATTTAAGAAAATTCCCTGACTATATGAGAAAGACATACACGATCTAAGAGTCATGCTCTTGTTCCCTAGTTCCAATTCTCTAGCTCTGTCTCATTCCAATCCTTTCTAGATTCTTTGTTCACCTAGCTTATACATACATATCCAATAACAAACTTCTTTTAATAAAAAATAGTTTACAGAAACTTCTTCTCGGGGTCACAATGCATTCCTTGAGTAAACTTTAAGGAGCAGAGCCATTTACCATGGCAACATATAGGTGCTTGGCGTTTTCCCAGGCAGTGCCACTGAAGGCATTCCAAACTTAAAAATACATTTTCTTATCCTGCATGCAGCCCCTATGAGCACAAGGAAGGAAGCTTGTAAGTTCTTTATTTGTGGCTGTGAAGTAAGACCATCATCTCTAGCCCTGAATATCAAGGCAGTGAGCCCTGGCTATCTGTGAAACTTTGCCCACATAAAGCTGTTTCTCTCTGGACTTGATTAATAGGGTGTTATTATTGCCCTCTGCATAAATTGTAGGACTTAAACATAAACAGTTAGTTAGTCATAGAGAGGGAGTAGTGATGAGCAAAGGGGTCAAGACCACACTGGGGAAACCCACAGAAACAGCTGATCTGAGCAAATGGGAACTCACTGACCCCAGTCAGACAGCTGGGGAACCAGCATAGGACCAAACCAGGGCTCCTGAACTTCGGTGTCAGTAAGGAGGGCCTCTCATGGTGAAACCAGTATGTATCCCTAGTGCATGAATGGGCTTTGGGAGCCTATTCCTCATTTAAAGATACTCTCTCCCAGCCTAGATACACAGGGGAGGACCTAGGCCCTGCCCCAAATGATCTGATAGACTTTGATGATTTACTCATGGAAGGCCTCACTCTAGCTGGGGAGTAGATGGGGGATGGGATGGGGAGGTCAGTGGGGGTCATGGGAGGAAGAGGGAATTGGAATTGATATGTAAAATAAGAATGCTCACGAAAGGATATTCACTGGTTTCCCTTAAGATACAGAGGGAGCATTTATCAGTGCTCATGTAAAAGTTTTCATTCTTCCTCTCTCAGACGATGATGATGATATCCTTTATGTCAGTGTCAGGGTGAAGGTCAGCCAGTTCAATGGCCTGGAAGACTTCAGTTTGGCATTCTAATTCCTCAAAAAGAGAAACCAAAATGGGAATGACTCACTGATATCACATATCTGTGTCCCCATCCTACAAGGGGACATGAGAAGAAAGGCAGGTGATCACAAAGATCATTGCAGAATGTGAGAATACTGGGCACTCAGAGGTGTCTACATCCGGGAAATTATCCATCTCTAGTCTGGACACCGCATCACCATCCCCAAGAGAACCACATGCAAATTCCACATTTGCTTCCATTGCACGTTCACCTCACTGGCTCTGCTGATCTGTCTAGCCTGGATGTGTCATCCGAATCTCCTTACCCGATAAGTGACCCTTTCCGCTCTTTCTTTGAGCACGTTTCAAAGCCCACCCCCGTACATTAACATGTAGCAGTGTTTTGTTGCAAAAAAGAATCACATTTTTTTTCTTGCTTCATATCAATACTTCAGCAGTTTTGGAGAGCGGGTAAGCCAGTGTGCAAAAACGGGAGACGAAGAGACCTTTCCCTGTGAACACGTGTTGCCTCACTCCACTCCATGCAACTCACTGTGAGAACTATGCAGGGAGGGCAGAGGCTGAAACTTCTGCAATGGTAACTTCCTCCTCTCTGTTCCCTTGTGCAGGATTGGCTAATATGCGTAAGAGGAGAGCGCGGCTTTCCTCTCCCCCGCCCCCACCCCCCCTCCCCCCCTCCGTCCCCGCACCATCTGCAGCAAGTGGGGAAGTTGGTTCAGCCCTTTACCAGCTGGAACACTCAAGATAGCAGTCCCTACACCTCCCCTGGGTAGCACAGCAGAGCTGGGAGGGGGAGGGGGAGGTAGAACTCACAGAATGTGTGTGTGTAGATCTGGCCCCACCCCTCATCTGACATATGGTGGTGTGGGCAAGACACAGATGCTCCCCCACTGCCTGTGGCAAGAGGAAGCGGTGACCCTGAGGTCTTGAGAGGAGAGCCTGCCTACTCCTCACCAGCTGTAGCTCTCAGAAGAGTGGACCCTGCACCTCACAGAAGCAACACTGCAGCTATGGCTCGGTTGCTGTAGACATGGGCGAGCCAGCCCTGATGCATGAAGGCTAGAGAACTGGCCCCACCCCATGCTTCTCGTGGTACAGGGTGAACAAGTCAGGACAATGTCGGAGACACCACCCTGGTGGTGAGGGTGGGGGAAAGATCTGGCAGGCTCACCAACCCTGCAACCATCCTGGCCCAGACGCAGGACTATGAGTAAGCCAAGTCCAACATTCGCCCAATCGGTAGTCTGCTGGAGTTCATGAAGGGGCTGGTCCTGCAGATACAAAGCTTCAGGATCTCCACAACACAGAGCAACAACAGGATAACCAAGAGGAGTCCCAGTGAGGGCCAAATACGCATAATGTAGCAGAAGCCAGAGGCCTGAAACAGACAAATGTCTCTCCGCAATGAACATTGCAAGCAAAGATATATGAACTAAATGGCGCACAGTGTGACTCATTGTGTCACACTACAGCTTCCCCAATGAGACGTTTCTTTTTTTTTGTTTTCTTTCTCTTCTCCTTTTATTTTCTCTTACATTTTATTTTATGTGTGGTGGAGGTTGCCAAGACAGACAGGCAATGGATATGAACTGATGGTGAGACGAATGGGCCCAAGATGCATGATGTGAAATTCACAAAGAATAAATAAAAAGTTTTTTAAAAACCACAGGGGAGAATCAGGTACTTTCCAGCATCCCAGTTATCTCTGCTCCATCAATCTATCCCCTTGTCTCTTGATTCACATTGTGCGCTTCCCCATCTCTCCTCCCAAAGCAATCTCTGAGTTACTGAGAAATGTCAGAGGTGGGTAAAGGGAAAATGACCTTATTTGCTCCCTGAGACAAAAACAGTGAGTTTCCTCTTTCCCCATATGTCAGGTTTCTTTGATGCCTGTTCTGACCGTGTAGTTGGTGATAAAGGCTGGTAGGGTCCTGTTCTGACCATATAGTCGGTGATAAAGACCACAATGCCTAGGCTGGTAGGGTCCTGTCTGGCATTCTTTTGCATCAACCCTGCTTGTTCAAAGCTCTGTGACTTGCAGAGTCTATGAGAGTTCATGGCTATGGACCATGAGGTGCCTCCTTCTTCTGCAGGGTTAAAGTATGAGGCTTCAAGACTCTTGTGAAGTCATCAGGGAAATCTTTCCATGGAAGAGGGTGCTTGGAAAGTGCACAAAAGCCTGTCCCGTTTGGAAAAGATCTGACCAAATCCTAGAAGGGAGTCCAAGAAGATAACTGGGCTCTCCCATCCTAAAAGTAATACATCTAACCACACCTATGTGAGGCCATCATCATCTAGCACCAAATTTAGACAAATACTTTATGAGAAAATAAAATGATGCCAGGTGGTGTCGATGTATGCTTTTTAACATCAGCACTCAGGAGGCAGAGAATAGTAGGTCTCTGTGAATTCAAGTCTAGTCTAGTCTACTGAGCTATTGCAGGACAGACAGAGCTACACAGAGAAAGCCTGTATCAGAATCAAAAACACAAAACTGTACATGAATATCTCCAATACACATAAATACAAAGTTCTCAATAAATATCCTTCATACACCACGTAACAAAATTCTAGTAAATGACAGATCACATGTAAGATGGTGATCCCATAGGATCGCATGACCTGTAAAACTGTATCCATCTGACTTTCAATGATGTTTACATGATGAAAAATATTCTTTAATATGTTTTTATCACAGCATATTCTATTGATGGGGATGTAAATTCAATACAATGCTGTGTAAAAAATATTAATACATAATGAACAAGCAAGATTTACACTGCTATATAAACCTTGTTCAAAACCCAAAATCCAATCAGTGTCACCCATCTAGGCAACACAGCAAAAGTGGAAATAAAAAATAAGGAAGGTAAGAAGGGAGATAAAGAAATAATATTTGCCAATTCCCCAAATCTGTTAATGATAAACACTTGCCGTGAACTAAATAACTAAATATAGAGAACTCTCTCCTTTTAATAAGGCCATATTAAAGAACACTAAAATTAACATCATTTTGGTGGTGAGAAAGGGAAGATTTCACAATTAATTGGGAAGAACACAACAATACCAAGTCTCTCCAGGAGAATTCAGGCTTATAATTGAAGTCCCAGCTAATGAAGTAAGACTAGGAAATGAAGGTTCACATATTCAGAAGGAAGCTCTACAACTGTCATTTTTGCTTGTTGAATGATTTTCTATGTAGAAAATATGAATTATTTTGCAAATTAACTTTGTAGAATTAAGCATTGATCATTTTTCCTATTTTATGTAGTTTTGAGGGTTTACGTGTGTGGATGTTTTGCCTGCATGAACATTCAAACCCATGGAGGCCAGAAGATGTCAAATCTCTGGAACTGGAGTTGTGAGGTGCCATGCGGATGCTACAAATTGAATCAGACTCCTCTGGAGGAGCAGACAGTGCTCTTAACCACTTAGCCATTTCTCCAGTCCACACAGCAGTGATTATATCAAAATTATTCAAGGTTTATTCATTACATGTCAATTGCTTTTGCATGTGGCAGAAATTGACAGTTGAATTTGATTGAAAGTACATCGATGGCATGTGTCATTTCCAAACTTCTCACACATGGTTTTATATGTATATTACAAAGCTGGCAATGAAGAAGTTATATTATATACAGCAATCAGAAAATATCGCATGTCAGAACTTGTTTAGAAAATGATATTTACAGAACCATGTGAACAGTACCCCACCAGAGAACTCCTTCAGACACCAGTGCATGAATGGCTTGCAAATCTTTAGAATTTAGGAGAAACAGTGAGCATGTAGTGAAGATTAGAGGTTCTGTGGGTCCCAGAGTGTGTTACAGAACTTGGTTTTTATTCAGTTATTTTCATTTCTAGAATCTGATTCATGCTCATGGTTATTTTTATTGAACCAAATACCTTGTTCTTGCTAGAAAAGACAGAATTTCAAAGTGAAAACGGGGAATGTGATGATTTATAATTAAGGGAAATATTACATTAAAATGAAAAAAATTAAAAGATACATGAAGGTAAGGACCCAACCAAATTTTAGGACAGAATTTTCCCTGTGTCATGTAGTCAGAAGAGAGGAGGCATCACTCACCAAAGACCACAACATGGTAAAGAAAAATTTAATCTTGGAGAGGGAAATCTCTGTACCCCAACACTCAGGTGTAAACTGAAGTTTGTCTATTCCCCTCAGTCCTGCAGCCACTTGTAAATAATCGCTCAGAGACTTGTTTTAATTATTAATTCTTGACCAATGGCTCAGGCTTATTACAAGCAAACTCTTACATTTAAATTAACCCATGTTTTTATATATGATTTGCTGCATGGCTCAAAGCTTGTGGCCTCATTTTCTACATCATGCCCTGCTTGCTCTATGACTGTATGACATCTCTCTCAACTCCACCCCTCCTCATCTGAGTTCTCAGTTTGATTGTTCCACCTCAACTTATCCTGCCTGGCTATTGGTCAAGCAGCTTTTATTATTAACAAATGAAAGGAATACATATTCATAGCACACACAAAGATCATCCCACAGCATCCAGAGCTCTCCCTGGACCCAAAACACACTTGCTCCCTGAACAATACTGAAAACAGTTTCCAACATAAACCCCAGATTTTCTTACAGAAACCTTTTGAATCCTCAGATACATTTTTCAGAATCAGCCACAAAGACAGGTGCTGCTGTCTCTTCTGTTTATCTCCCAGGAGCATATAAGATCCATCTCTGGCTGTGCCAAGTCTTTAGAAGCAGAATGCCAAAAACCAGGAAGACCAAGCCAACCATGGTTATCCGGATGAGGTTGTCCACCTTATGATTCTGGGGTTGTGAATCTGGAGATTGTACACAAACAGGTCAGGGCAGACCACAGTCACTCCCAGATGAGTATCTGTCCACCCTCAACACCTGACTCCACTGGAGAAGGAAGACTTGGTTCTCTGCAACCATCCCTTAGTGAAGAAATCCCAGTACTCACCTATCTTGACTTCTGATGAGCTGGTCATCTCAGGCGCTCCTGATAAACAAGGAAGAGAAGTAGGATGTATGAAGTATCTCATGCACTTTGTCTCAGTTCCTGCCAGTAGCCATGATAGAGGAGTAGCAGATGGCAATTGAAATTCAAGAAAAACTCTGGTGGGTATGTCTCTCTTAAGCAAGGCTTGCAAGACTACAGACGCCAGAATGTATTTTGCTTCTGCTGTGCCCCTGCATGCTTGCTGGTACAATGTATATGGTATGGGGAGTCCCCCACCATCTGTATTGTAGCATGCCTATCTCATGAAAATATCTTAATCTACTGGGCATATTATGTGGATTGTCAAAAATGGAACTCCTCCTCCTTAAGCTGTATTATTAACTAGATATCAATAATGTTAGCTAATATAGAGTTTTTATGAATAAAAATGAATGCAAAGAAATGCTACACCACTCAGGGACCATAAATTCCCCCCTAGAAGCTGCTTCTAATCACAGCTCAAATTAATGATTCCTGGGAACCAGAAGGGCTCAAATTCATTGTATTGCTGAAGCATTACTAGCTGACAGAAAGCTTCAAAGAAGCTTTAGATTAGACCAGATGCCTTGCTAATGGTCTTTAGACAGACATTTCCAATTTTTAATTCACTAGAACACACAACTGCACTGTCTAGCTAGGTTGTAAATACAAAGACAGCCCAATTATTACTAGTTAGCAAATGACTAAGTCCTTGTACACAATCCTGACCTCAATTTGTGAAAATTAATTCTGAATTGCCAAGGCTACAGAAGATAATCTGACCCTGTAGCCCCGGATGAGGGCTGCAGGTGTGTATTACCTGAGAGATTGTTAGAGTATTTTAAGCAGTAGAAGGAAGGGGAACAATGGAGCAATGAGGAATAACAACATGAGAGAACATGAGACAATAAAGAAATTAAACCAAGAAGAGAATATGTGTGAGCGTTTCCTTCTCTAAAATACCTCAGATAGAAAAGTCTTAGCTTTGCTAAGCTATGGACTTTTCCTTTGAGCACTGTCTGCAGCTTGGATGATGATTCTTCATGAGCTGCCATAATTTCCTTTATTACTTGCATAATTTTCTCATCACATAATTTCTTGAAGATCCTTTCCCTGCTATAACGGAGCTACCCTTGGTCATCTTAAAGAATTCTACAGCTCCAGTGCTCCATTTTTGCTCAGAACTTTAATATTAGTTGCTTTGGAAGAAAGTTTATCTGACTCCTAAAAGCTAAGGATGAAAAAAGTATTCTCCCACTTCACAATTAATGAAGCATTCTTCCCACTGAATCACCAGCTGAGGATCCAGGATCCAGGGGTGAAGGCTGCTCCTCAGGTGGTCCTGAAGTCAAGGGATCAATGGGGTAACAGTATGAGATGCTGTCTCCTTTTATCATCCAGAGCTAATTCCCATGGTGCTTCATAATCTACTCAGCATGTCATTAATCAAAATATCCACAATGCAACTCATAAAGGTACATAGATACTTTAAAACACACACACACACACACAAACACACATTGATGTATTCTAGTTATGGTGATATACATCTACAGAGATTGGCAAAATAATAAACATGTAAAAACATATTAACTGGATACCCTGATGTGAATTGGTTTGTAATAATAAATATATTTAAGTATAATATATAAACATATAATCACCAATGTATATGCATTTGCTTATATGCTATATATAGAATTAAAGATATTAACACTTGAGGCAGGAGAATGCTTGAAGAAACACTGCTTTCAGGACACAGGTGCAACTACAGATCATTATATTAAGCAAAGTAAGTCAGACTCAGAAAGATGAATACCCAAATACATCTTGTCTTACTTATAGGTCTTACACAAACATACATGAATTCATACACATGATAGATCCTATGCCTTACTAAAGAAGAATACTTTTTCATCAGATAGAGGTCAATATACAGATTCAAAACTATTCAAAATGCAGAGAAGTGACAATGTGTGTCTAACCCTAGCTAATACATCTACAACACAACTGTTACAGGAAGGCCAAAGGAAAAATCATGGGGAAAAATGTCAAAAAGATGTTTTTAGAGCCAGATGACCAGGATGCCTGCTGTGATATTATGCCTTCTAGATAAGACAAGGTAGATGTGCCCATGATATATCAACAATATGCCAGCCTAAACATGACCTGAATAATGCCAATACCAGTTGACCTGCCAATGTGGATGTGGAAAATTTCACAAGGACCCATCCCTACATGAAGAATTATAGGCAGGCAGTGGCTTCTAAGAGAAAGAATCAGTTTTCTGCAGGGAGAAATATCCAAATAGATTATTTGACCCCAAGTGTTCAGTCTTAAGCAAATGCCTATGGGAATAACAATGATTCGACACAGTACGGTTTGTGTGTGTGTGTGTGACAATAAAAATTAAAGAAAAAAGACCTTGAATTTGAGAGGAATATAAGAGGACTTGGGGGAGGAAGACTGAGACAGAGGGGTGTAAATAATTTAAACACCACAATCATCTATGGAATTCTCAATTTAAAAAAATAAATTAAAAGTCATGTGCATGAAGCCGGGCGGTGGTGGCGCACGCCTTTAATCCCAGCACTCGGAGGCAGAGGCAGGAGGATCTCTGTGAGTTTGAGGCCAGGCTGGACTGATAGCCTCCGAAACAATACAGAGAAACCCTGTCTTGTAAAAACCAAAAAGAAAAAAAAAGTCATGTGCATGAGGACAGATAAGACGATTCCGCAGCTAAGAGCACTGGCTATTCTTTCAGAGAATACAGATAGGGTTCCCAGCAAGTAACAGAAGCTCAAAACTATTTCTAACTGCAGTTTCAGAGGGTCTGAAGCCTTCCTCCAGTGGCATTGTATGCAAGTTGTTGACAGCCATACATGCCGCCAAAAAAACAATACACATAAAATAAAAGAAAAAGCTACAAATATGTATGAGTGTGTTTATGAAAGTAGGTATGAATAAATTGAGGGAATGCCTCAGAAGAGAGGGATGGGAGAAAATGTCATGGTGTAAATAAGGTAAAACTACCTGATATCCTTGGATGAAAACACTTTTCTAAAACTTGTCATATTCTAGAATGGACAGAAGGCAATAAAATTTTTGAGAGAAGTAAAATTTTTCACATCATCATTCATGAATATGACTTTTATCAGTGAACCAGAAAAAATGAAAAGCCATTGAAACTGAAATAACCTAGATAAATATATAATGAAATAATGTAGAGAAACTAAATATTTTATTTTGTATGCTTCATTACTTAGAAAATATAAGGCTCCCAAAACCTAATTTAGCAATAAAGTCAACGGGTATCTGATTCATTTTCCCTTAAACATATGAAAAATTACAAATAATTGTTGTTATGAAAAACTTTTAATCTCTAAGTGATACATAAATACCATGTGATTATCTGAAAACAGCAAACTTAACTCTCTTATGAGATCAAATCTTAAATGTAACTTCTATAAGAAAGTGATCATTTATAAATCTCCAGAGAGAGAAACAACACACAAGAATGGCAAACTACAGAATAGAAGCAGCCAGGGAGTCATCACGATGATAGCCTCCATCTCCCAAAATAGTGGATATCCCCTGGTTGACCCTCCTTAGGTCCTCTCATTTCCAACCGGAATAAGAGATCTCCTGGGGTGGATAATGAGTGAGCCTTTGAGTTCAGAAATGTTGGGTCAGTATTCCCTCGCTTGAGACTGTAAGCATCATGGGTCACTAGTGAGTATTCAGATATATGGAAAAGACCCTTGAGACCCATGACTTACGCAGGTCTAAAGTTCACAACACTCAAGAGAATTCTGACTAGTTGGGCTGAGCTATGGTTTTGGTTCTCAGGCATGGGAGAGTTTTTGAAGACAAGGAAAAAGTCCATCAGGTTCCATGATTAGCACACCAATGTCATTTGATTTTCTGAAGACAGGATTTGAAAGAAGGCTCTTTGAAATCCTGGAATCCAGTTGTAGACAGGGAGGAGGAATGAGGAAAGGGGTCAAGACCATGCTGGGGAAACCCACAGAAACAGCTGACCTTAGCAAGTGGGAACTCCCGGACCCCAGTCTGACAGCTGGGGAACCTGCATAAAACTGAACCAGGCTACCTGAATGTGGGTGTCATTTGGAGGCCTGGGCAGTATATGCGGCCTCTGGCAGTGGAACCAGTATTTATCCCTAGTGTATGAATGGATTCCGGGAGCCCATTCTCCCCGGAGGGATACTCTCTCAGCTTAGGTACATGGGGGAGGACCTAGGCCCTGCCCCCAAATAATGGGACAGACTTTGATGATCCTTCATGGGAAACCTCACACTCCCTGGGGAGTAGACTGGGGATAGGATGGGGAAGTCAGTAGGAGCCATGGGAGAATAGGAAGGAGAGGGAACCAGGATTGATATGTAAAAAATGATTGTTTCTAATTTAAATTTAAAAATATATAAGGAAGGAAAGAAGGAAGACCACTCTCCTGGAAGGAAGGGAGGAAGGAAGGAAGGAAGATCACTCTCCTAGAAGGAAGAAGGATGGAGGATGGGCGATGGTTTGCCTTTGTTCTGGCCTGAGATTAAACCATGGCTGAGATATAAAGATTTTGTCTAGCTTCAGGAGAGCTTGGGTCTGGGGGGGGACAACACTCCCCATCCTCCGCCCAACATCCATCCCCTCAATCTTCCAGGGCCGCTCCTGGCATCCAGAAGACCGGCCCACATAGGAAAGACTTCAGCCCTTCCAGGCCCCAACCTCCAGCAACCCCAGCTTCAGCTTAAGCTTCAGGGTCGGCATCCCCAGCTTCAAGTTCAGGAAGGAAGGAGACCAGAGGAGATGGAAAGACCCCATCAGCACCCACTGGAAGAAGAGATGGGAAGAAGACAGAATAAGAGCTCACTCAGCAATACAAAGACCAACATGACTCCACCAGAATCTGGGGAACCAATGCCAACAAGACCTGAAAAGCACTACATAGACGAGGCAGAAGAGACAGACCTTAAAAAATATTTATGAAGATGATAGAGACCCTC